CTCAAACAAGGAAAAAGAGTCAATTATATTTCTTGTTACAGAAAGGACTTTTGTCATGTCCAAGAAATGACTCCGCGTTTACGGCCTGTTTTTCAAAAACCCACCCTAATGGTAAACATTAAGACAGAAGTCTGTTTGTAAATATGCAATACTGCACATGGTGTGCACATGGACAAATTCATATTCAAGCAATCACCCAGACATTTTACAGCCAGACAATAAAATACTCTTTTGAATTGTGACGTATCTTCAAAAATTAGTCTCTGAATAGCCATTAAATACTGTCATTTTGTAATAGGTTAATTATTGAAAATGAGCATCCTGATATGCCTCGAACATGCATTTGGGTCCTTGAGGTGGCCTGCTTTCGGTCACAATTACTGTAATCACACAAATAAATGCTGCTCAAATAACACAGAGAAGCAAACTTTCCAGTTCTTTGCCTTACATTTACATAATAGACAAAAGAGAATAATCAATCATGCTGCCAAGTAAACATGTATTTAGCTTAACATTCTCTAGACTAGAGGACATAAACTAATGACCAAGTAGACTCAAGATGGCAATTTCAATTAAAGTGTCTTTTATTTGTTTCTTTGTTTTTAGGCTTTTAATAAATGGATTCTAAAAGAGAACGCAGAAATGTTGTTAATAGAAGGAAACGTGGTCTTGGCACCAAGCATTACAGTGTTTGAGCATTTCCTACCAAAGAAGTTGGATAATGATGTATTTTATATTAAACAAAACAATGTTGCATAACCTGGATGCACAAAAGCCGATTGTCCAAACTCATCCAAGTTGCACTTTCTTTAAAGATACGCCCTAGAGGCAATGCTGTTAGTGAAATGTTAGAACATGACTGTCTGGCAGCTGACTCAGACAGGGCCATTTCCCGTAAATAATGACTCTGATAGACTGTATAAGGGTAGATGGATGGAATATGAATGCTTGCCCAGGAGCATGAAAGTTTGCACGTATACCTCAGATAAGAGAAACAACTGTGGAAAGCTTCTTCCTGGTTTATTCTCAGCAGTAAATAATCAGACTCCACAATTCAGATGCTTGAGTGTTATTTTGACTCATAAACTCTCGTGAATGAGACAGGAGGCATTTGAGGGCTTCTGAGATCTGAGGTATGATGTTATGCAGAGTGACCCTTGAACTCTGCATGTCTTACAACTATACAGTTTACTGTGACTGAGACAAATTCTTATACTAGTTAGGCTGTATCGTAGATCAGTAGTTGGACATTGCAGTTGTTTTATTACCTACCTGTTAGAACCTTTTTGCATTCACTGAATTAACAGGAATGTCCCATTCACTCACAGTATTGATTTCATGTATCTTGTTTAACACAAAACTTCCAACTAAATGCCTTATATATAACAATTCATTTCTTAGAGATGTTATATAATTATAAGAATAATATAGTTTATCGTTTTTAGTAGTGGGGTAGGTTGTAACAACAACTCTCCTTGTACTTGATATTCATTTACACAGTTGAGTGATAAGTTGTAAATTTCAAAACAATTTTAAATTGTTTAGCAGCCTTCATTGATCTGTGGCACACATGTTCACAAACATTTCCAACACATGATTTGCTGACAGTTATTCCAGAAATGAAAACATCTTTTGCTGCGGTTTTCTTTTGTATTTCTTATAAGCCATTTTGGCAGTGTGTTAGCTTAGTTAACTTTTATGGCACTGTATGACTGAGCCAAGCTTTTTTTCTCTTCACTACTGTCACCTGAAGTTTTGGGTTCCTCGCAACTGTCAACTGTGACTTGCTCGGTTTGGGTTTAAAAGACAAATATATATTCAGTAATATTATTGATTTAACTGTGCTGACATTACAGGATGAAAACAAAATTTGAACTGAATTGAGCTGAAAAATGAAACAAATTTTGACTAACATTGACACTGTTATTGAATTGACTTGAGCTGAATAATAACATGAATGCCATGCAGCTTCTTAAAGATGGAATGAGCTAGTTTCATAATTGATTAACTTTGCCACATTGACACAGTTATTAAACTGAACTAAAATAACATTGAACTAAATTGAGCTGAATAATGACACTGTACAGCTGAAATTGAATTTGTTTTCATAATTGTTGAATTTTACAACATTAAAACTGTTATTTTCCTGTTTATTAATGTGAATCTGTATTGTATAAAGCGCTATATACAGAACCTCACATATAATAAGTAAATGTCAGAAACAACAAAAATAAAACTTAAAATAGAATAGAAAAATAGAATCGTAAGTATTTGAAAGTGTTTTTGGCCAGGCTGTGTACTCAGCCTGAGGAAAAAAATCATCATCCACAATGCAAACCTGTAAAAGTGCAAAATTCAAAATACAAGGTAAAAAAAAAGAAGCAATTTGAACATAATTATTTTATATTAATACACATTGTGCCCTATTTTTACAGATTTTTTTTTTTTAGTGTTCATGTCATATACCAGAAGTCTGTGTTTGCACTGCTCTCTCCTCAGAATGCATTGAGGTCACCCGAGTTCATATCACTGTGTATATAAATAATTAACAAGTGTTCCACATATGACATTCAGGATATACAAATTTTCATTTTAACCCAACTAACCAGTACAATTCAAAGCTTCTGTGATGCTTCTAGATGCTGTGGCTCTCTGAATGCAAATTTAGAACCCAGGCACCAAGAAAAAAAAAGAAAAAAATACCATAAGCATAAATACACAATGCAGGCTATTTATTAAGTATGATGTCTAGTTCAAGGAACAGGACAACAGTGTTTGACAAGAATGTTACAGGAACTTCTAATAATAAAAATAGCTCTTGTAATTGATGCATTTCCCTGTGCACCTCATGTCTCACTCCTACACAGCACAGCTTCAAAGTGAGCTTGTCTAAATAAGTGGGTTAATTTTGACATGCTCCAGAAATGTTATACAGTGCTTTATTCATTTGAACCTTAATCCAGACCTACTATAGCAAACAAAGAAAACATTCCTAAATACTTATGTATCTTCTGCAAATGAGAACATATTTCTTTCTACTATCAGATGAAGTATTGTATTCTAAGAATAAAGCCTTACCCAGCGCCATTATCTTCATCAGTAGGCCTATATTATCCTCTAAGAAAAGGGCATTTCGTAATCCTCACTGAAGAATGTGGTTAGTGTTGGATATTCCTATAAAGGGAGTGTGTTGGCTTTTAAAATCTGTCAAAAATGACAGGTTTTTAGTTTCTAAATGACAGTGTGATACAAGTTTCATACTTCAATAAACAATAAATCACTTTAAAACTTTAAAGTTTCTCTAGTCTTAAAGGTCAAACGGTCATTCAGAAATCATTATGCTGATCAATATGCTGATCTGACACACAACAAATATTTCTTATTCGAGTTGTGGTGCTTAATATTTTTGTAGAAACTATGATACGTTTTTTTTTTCAGGAGACTTTGATAAAACAAAACTACACAACAAGTTGAAACAACAAAGTCTTTACGCTCACTTCTGATCAATTTAATACGTCCTTGCTGAAATAAATAAATAAATAAATATTTTTATACATTTTTGCACTAATGCTGTTAAAAGATTTAGACAAAAAAATTCTAAATATATGCAAAAAAAAACAATGGCAATAATACAAATATAGTTACAAAAGTAGGGAAATGACTTTGGCTTTGACCCAATTTCATCCACAGCTAAAAATGGAGCAATAAAACGAAAAGCACAGATCAAAACAGAACTGGGTTCAGTATGGGTTACAGCCAGGTAGGCTACTCTTGCTTGTTTGTTTGTCTGGAGCACAGCCTCAATAATGCAGGAATTTCCATTACAGTTTTGATTGCAGTGGGATTTACAGCCTATGTACAGGCAGGGCCGTTGCTGGCCAAATGGGTGCCCTAAGCAGGATTGTATTGTTGTGCCCCATCCGTCAAATATTATGGAAGTAAAAAAAAAACACCTACTATAGGGGTCAAAATAGAACTTTAATAAAATATAAAAGTTAATTCATTAATTAATTGTAATTAAATTATATTATTTACAAATTACAATTGTAGTTCTAGACAGTTACCTATGGCTATGATTTTATTAATACAGTTGTCTGATTGATTTTATAGTCTCAAGCATTCAGAAATCACGCAAAAGAAAATTAAGCCGTTTTACTACAATAAAACCATGGTTCATTTTTGTAAGGGTTGTGATGTCCACATGTTTTTGTTGAAGTAATTATAGAGGCTGTAGTATTTCTATTGCAAAAAGGTGGCCAAAAATGAAAGATTAAGTGAATATTTGAATTAGCCTAAATGTTTGGTCAATATTAAACAAGGATTGGATCGTCCTGTAAGTGTAACAGCAGCAATTTCCAGGCCTTTGGCTGCCTTTGCAGGCATTTGTAATGTACATAAATTGTTTATTTTGTATTACATTATGTATTTTAACATTGTTTCATTATTTTAACATTGACATGTATCGATATTGCCTCATTGTTTTTATATAATACATTTTAAGTAATTTTAAAGGCTGTTGTTGGCTTAGACAAAAGCTTGGATTTGGTTTAGATATATTTTTTTTAATCCTAATACTTCTTTGTAAACTGAAGTAACAAAACCATGGTTAATTTGTGGTTAACAAGAACCATGATTTTTGTTTTTTTGGTTTATTCGTAGTAAAACCATGGCTAATTTTCGTAAGGGAACATGAAATCTCAGAAAGAATATTAGATGCGTTGTTGGGGCTTCATTTTTTTTTCTTTTTCTTTTCTCGGCGCCGGATTGCTGATGTCTTTTCACGGGTAGTTGTCCATCAATTATGATCATTTGCATTCAGCCGCAAACATGAGGTGCGAGCGATCGCGGATGCGGGAATATGGTGCATTTTTTTATAATGATATATCTACATAATATCTACATATATATATGTGTGTGTGTGTGTGTGTGTGTTCATGTTTATATTTGTATTTATGCATATGTTAATTTTATTATTAATATAGAACAGAAGGTTTTTAAAGTTTTTTTTTTTGAGCAACTGGGTTGGTGCCCCCCTGGGATATGGTGCCCTACGCAAACTGCGTACTCTGCGTATAAGGAGCGGCGGTACTGTGTACAGAACGGATGAAAACCAGGTTGATGGGAAGGAAAGCTATCCGAAACTCCTGTAGCCTATCTGCAGTCAACGGCCAACTGATGCAGAGGAGGCTAGATTCACCTGCCCAGTTAAATGAACACAGTCTGGCTTCTGTGTGTTTGAGTTAGTGATGGACGCTAAAAAAGCTTCCATTAAACGAGGCATTCAGTAAACGAGGCTTCGTTACATCACAACTGTTTCGAAATTTCAATGGTTCGACGCTGGAGGGCGATCTGTGTGGACCCATGAATTACTAGTGTCTTTATGGTTTTCCAGGGGCAAGTTCAAGCTCAAACCGGTGTGCACCGTTTAGCTACAGTTTCCGGTTTGAATGACATGTTTCCTGGCAACGGTGTGCAACGGTGTGCAACGGGGTTTGAGATGCGTTTTCTCTTGTTTGGTGGGTTTGTCAAAAATGTCAGCCCAATCAGCAGCAACATGTATGTAAACCACATGGTATTAAAGAGACAGCTAGCACAATGTAATTAACATCCAAATAAATTCACAAGAGCAAGTATATTGTTTGTACATGTTTATTTACAATAAAGGCAAAATAACTGAAATAATAAAGAGCACAAGTATAGATCTGGAACTTCTTTAAGTCTGTCTAAATATAATTTAGTAATCGCAATGTCTTCTGGTCCATATCCTTTCCTTAGGAAGGTGTGCTAAATACTGATTAATGTAACATAAAAATACTATACATATTTATATATTTTGCTATTGTATTGTGGAGTGACACTTTCATAAACTTTTCTATACCCCTGATTATATAATGGTAAATATTACAATATCATAGCACAACAACAGTGATCAGCAATAATGATAAGCCTAATACTCACAATAAAAATAATAAGGTCATATAGATCATAGCACAGTCTCGGAGGTAAGAAGTGGATTATCCTTCACCTGAAATGTTTGTCTTTTCATCCTGAAATGCGAGGCAAATGTTGGATCACAATAATTAGGAACCACAGTTTCCACAAATCCCTTCATTTGATTGGGATGTTATCTTTTATTCTGGACAGCAAGGGCAATGACTGTACCATCGAACGTATTTTGCAGTATTAAACACGTATTTATACCGATTTCATCAGGCTCCGAAAATTCTTCAAAAAGAACACAAAGAATGGCCTTCTCAGCTGCCATAGTTGCAACTCTTGTGTCATCAGAACAGTGTGTTCAATGCACCATCGTTTCCATTTAAAAAACGTTTTGCACCGTTTTTGTCGGGGCTGAACACAGCCCAGATCTCGTATCAGTTTTATAAATTTGTAGACATTTTAATGAGACATTTGTCCAATTAAAATGAAGAGTAGTAGTTAAAAGTCTATTTTTGGCCTGTTTAGATAAGCCTAATAAAACAAACAAAACAAGCCCTGAACATTTATAAAATAACACATATAATACTAACACCTATTTATTGGTATTTGATGATTTGTTAATTGCACTCTATATTTCACTTTTAATAAAACAGTTGGAATGGGTTTGTGAAATCCGTTTTTATGCAGTTCAGTTTTTTTTTTGCAGTTATGACAGCAGGGATCACCAGCGTGTGGTGTTTCGAGCACTTCGAAACAGTGAATCATTTTCTATTAATGGTGGGGTAAGCGATTTCTGGTAGCCAATGTTGACATTTGAAATCACCAAAACAAACACGCCCCTACCCCAAAAGTGTCTGGCCCCTATTTTGATAGCTCCGCCCCACGCAACCCAGGCAACGAAAACAACGTTTTCTGTGTGTTTTTTTCACAGAGTTTTCTGTGAAACAAAGCAAAACCAATGCTACACAGTGTCTACACTGGACGCCAGTGACGTGGCGCGACAAAATACTATGGAACTCATTATAATCAGTGATGCTGTCTACACCATAGATTTATATACATATCATGACGTATTGACACAAATTTCAAATGATTTTCAACGGTCGCTTTGCCGCGTCCAGTGTACTAGACAGACTTTAGCTATTGCGATGCAGACTCGGTGTTACTCACCTATCGAGAAGAAACAAAGCAACATCGGCATCCGATCGCAGGCCTTCCGCTCCTTGAGTTCTCTCCAGCGCTGGAAAGCTGATCCGATGTTTACACGGGTCCTACTTCTTGCCTTAAGCTTTCTTTTGTTCCGCAGACGGTTGACTCTTTTGTTTTTTATCCACCATCTCTATCTTTCTGTCGCTCGGCTCGCTAATGTCCGTCCTGTGCACTGAACGCTCTCTCGTGAGTAGACATGCCCCTTACTGCTGATTGGCTACAAGTTTGTTTTGCTAGTCGGCCCGAATCAGTTTTCTAAAGCGTTTTTGAAAAATCGCTTACCCCACCTTTAATCAAATAAGGTATTCATAAAAAGAGTAATCTAACATCATAAATTTATATTTTAAAAAGGCAATCTATTAAATTCTAGTCAATAGCCAATAATTTTAATAAATAAATAAAAAACTAATAAGAAAACAAAAAGATTGACATAAGAAGCTACTAAATTCGATTATATGGAAAGGGACAACATTATATATATATATATATATATACAGGTGAAGCTGTAGGGACTTTTATTCTGAATTATCCTTTACGATCCTTGTGTAGGTCACAGTCGTCAGCTTCATGCTTTGGTTTCACGTTGCTGCCTGCTGTCTGTGACATCTCGTGTCAGAGTATTTATTTGCTCTTAAATAATTGAGTTAACCTTGATTATACTTAATACTTGTGTTTTCATATTCTTACTGAAACATGAACGATGATTTGTCAAGTTAACTGTAACGCCTGATCCGGCTTTCTAACCTTGACTAAATGCTCCAGTACTCTTAAATGAATAGGAATATATAGCGTTCTAAGTATATGATGTTACGGAATATTTGTAGGTATAACAGACAGTTTGGTCAGGGCATTTGGCCATTTTCTTTTCCTCAAGGGCAGCATGTGCCTAGTTTATCAACACGCCTACAAAAGGCAAGCTATGCCAGTGCCACAAAAGGTAAGATCATTACAGAAGAGTAACGTTATAGAAGGACAAATCTAATGTATTGATGCTTGCTCTCTTGTTCTTTAAATCACATTTTGCAGAGAGAAAGAAGTTCTACGAAAATGTCTCGATATCTCAAGGTGAAGGTGAGCATCGTTCAGTGTTGCAACACACATCTTCAACTTCAAAAAGAAACATGTATTTATCAAAAGAAAAAGTTATGTCTGTTTGAAAATAGGTTTTGTGTGGTCTACAGGGGGTTTGTATGAAATAAACCTTGACAAACGAAAGCTGAAGACTCCAGGTGGAAAGCTGTTAACAGTGTCCAATGAAGCTCTTGCCATAGCTGTTGCAACAGAGTGGGACGTTCAGAAGGACACGCTGAAGTTTTACACCATGCACTTAGTAGGCCATTAGTTAGAGTTCTTACATTGTGTATATTAACTGTGTTATCACCCAGCAGCATTTTTAATGTTGGAAATAGATGCATCCAACATTATCTGCATACATGCATCAAGCGATGCCTACCATATCTCAAATCTTAACGGTTTAATTGCTCATCCAGCTCTAATCTGCTCAATGTGACTATAACTATATTATAAACATTAACATCCTGATTTTATGTAAAGCCTTATGTATAAAAACATGATTTGACTCAAATTGTACATATGCTAATATGACTTATTTCTGTCCATACAGACCACCCTTTGCAACACAGCACTTGATAACCCAACGCAAAGGACGAAGGACCAAATGATCTCAGCTGCTCTAAAGTTTTTGGAGACTGACACAATCTGGTATTTTGAGGTTCACTTGATGGCATTTAATTAATTAAACCAAGATTTATATAACATTATCTTGTAATGGCAGTAAAGGTGAATGGTATTACATTTCCTAAATACTTCTATTTATAGTGTGTTTTCATTAAATCAGATACCTTTGTTGTAGTTACAGAGTAGAAGAACCTCCAGGTCTTGTAGAACTTCAGAGAAATGAATGGGACCCTGTAATGAACTGGATAGAACAAAGGTAATTTTGGCTAGATTATTTAGACTTTTTAGCTAGATTATGTAATAGCCACAATATATAGCCATAAAAAATGAATGACGTATATGAACATCTTGTGATTTTTAGGTACAATGTAGTAATTGGCTCGTCCACCAGTATAATGGGCCCTCAAATCCCAGAGGAGACTAAGGAGACATTTCGTCAACACCTTAATTCCTATAATTTTTGGTCTCTGACAGGTAAAGATACTGTGGTGCTTTTGCATCTTATGTAAATTGACATTTTACATAAGATTTTGCATCTTATGTGAAGAGGCCTGTTTGAACAGTGCAGGTTTTTTGTTTCTGCAGGGCTTGAGTATGTGATCACTCAGCTGAAATCACTGGTCTTGTCCTTTGGGCTGATTGACAGACACCTAAGCGTGGAACAAGCGGTTCTTCTGTCCAGACTTGAGGAAGAATACCAGGTTTGGTAGCTTTTAGTTTGTTCCAGCTGATTAGTACTTACTGCTTTTTGCCCATATGAATAATTACTGTTCTTCATGTTCTGTTCTGTCTTAGATCCAGCAATGGGGAAATGTGGAATGGGTCCATGATTATGACCTGTACGAGCTGCGAGCACGAACAGCTGCTGGTGCAATGTTTGTGCATCTGTCTTCTGAAAGCACAGCTGTCAAGAGAAAAATTTTACAGGACTGATAAGGCCAAAAAGGCACCGTTTGAGACTGAAAAAATTAGATTTTTGTTATCTCTGTCCTGTTTTCCTTTTACAGTAAGCTGCAGTGACACCAGTTACCTAACCAGTAAAATGCTGTTGCTGTCTAGTTATGTTTTGAGCAATAATATAGATGTCTAAGGTCATGGTATGTATTATTAGTTTCAACAGCTGCCAAATGGAAAGACTGTACATACAAAATCCCAGTATTTTAATGTCAAAGATGTGAAACTGTTTAGCTAATATGTTGGAAACCAAAATACAGTATGTAATCATGTGCGCATGTCTGACT